TGAGGCCACCACAGCTCAGCAGAACATCATTGTAGCTTCTTCTGGGGAGAAAAACACTTAGAGAGAAAATAAAGTTAACAGCTGAAATAGCAGAAAATAATACAGTTAAAGAGCAGATTGTAGAAGAAAGTAGTCGAGTATGGAAAGTGGTCAGTGTGTCCTCCAGCAGTCTAAGCCTATAGCAGCATAACTACAGAGATAACTCTGGATAATCTATCCTATTTAGATGGAGGCATGTTGGAGGCAGGGCAAGGGAGAGGTCTAAGGTAAACAAACATCACACAGCTGCAGTTTGCAAAGGAAATCCTTTGAAAAGGTAAATATTTGAAATTTAGATACTAAAACTAAACAAAACTGTCTCAGTTGAACTGATGAGCAACAATGAAGATATAATTTTAAAAACTGCCTTCGAAGGGTCTGTGTTTGTGCAGAGAACAAGAAGAAAGACTCATGAGATGTTGTCTGTCGGCAGGCAGGTTCTTGTCTCCTTTATTAACAAAGTCAAAAATGTCACATTTTGTTCCGTTTCACAATTTTTCCTTCCTAAACATATAACCATTCCAATGTTAACGTCACAATACTTGTTTTTATAAAGAAAATAAAATGTCTCTCCTGATAAATTACTTTCATTTTTCTTTTAGAGTAATTCACTAAACTCTGTTCTTGTGCAGTTTTGAACACTAACTATACACGAAGCACATCAAATGCTGTTTTACCTGCTGATTCAACAATTAAACCATACTCCAAAAGCACGTAAACATCCCCTCACAGCAACTACGTTAATAACCACTTTCTACAAAGACACATTTGAAAAACACACACAGAACCGTATCAACATATGACACTTTTGATAAATATCAATGTGGCAAGGTAACAAGATGGCGCCTGTGCTTGGCTTAGCCGTGTTCACCGGCCGCTTTTTCAAACTTTTCTCCACTAACCTCCTCTTTTCCACCTTGCTCCTGTCTGTGATCCTCTTCGGTAGTGTCCCTGCTACCATCTCCTATAATCACCAGACTCTTTTGTCCTTCCGATCGTTCACGATCGCCCAAGATGCACCGAGGACGTACCGTCCTGTGTGTTTACCTGAGTGGTGCACTGGCCCGGAGCCAAACGACGATCCCAACCAGGGCACCTCCAGCGATGTTTATCCGGTCCCGAGAAAATGTCGGAGGAAAAGAGGTAAACGAGCAGGAATCCAGGTGAGAATAAGACTTCTCTTAAAGCGACACTACTCCACAGTTGGTGATCTGCAGAACATTAGCTACATAGTAACCCAAAGCTAACAGAAGTTTTCCAGGCATTTTTAGCAAGAAAAATGCAGTAGAGCGATGACGTATAAGTTGTTTTACCACGTTAGCATGTAGCTCACATTCGGCCTAAAGAAGAGTCTGCAACCCCCCCCCCCCCCTGCCTATTTTTGCTCATTTTAAATATATTTTTAACCATTTTCTAAATTCTTTTTCATATTTTTACAAGCGGACGAAATGAGTTTTCTCAGATGAGTGGCTGGGCTCTCCCTTAAGCCCTTTTCAGATAGACATTCTGGAATATGTGCGGACAATTCAATCCGGTTTTTAACCGGAACTGTGTTTTCAGACACACCACTTTTGTACCCGAACTTGTCCTTTCGGCTGCCTTCACAAAGCAGGGAAAAGTTCCAGATGTCTGAGGGAGGGGGAGGGGGTGGGGCTCATGTTAAGCATAATTCTGCGCACACGAAGACGCTTAGAGACCTGGATGATGAAGCTCAGTGGTTAAAGGAATCACTGAAGCGGTGTGAAGCGCTCTGTCGCGCGTCTAGACTGTACCGTAGGAGGCAAGCTGCCATGGTTTGCCGCATGCTACAGGAGCGAGATATCTAGGTGCGCACAGCTTCCCCCGGTCCCATCCTCCTCCCCCTCCTCCCTGTCCGGAACTCTACCTCACCAGTCTGAAGCAGCCACCTTGTCCGTAACAAGTCCGGACCTGTTACTAGGGGCGTCGTCCGGTTAAATTACGGAAAACGTTATCCGAATGTTTGTATTAAGACACAAAGGTCTTACGGACAGAGTCCGGAACATTTCCGTTTTTCATGGCCTGTCTGAAGGGGGCTTTAGAGATAGGGTGAGATGCTCGGTCATTCGGGAGGGGCTCGGAGTAGGCCCGCTGCTCCTCCACATCGAGAGGAGCCAGTTGAGGTGGCTCGGGCATCTGGTCAGGATGCCTCCTGGACGCCTCCCTGGTGAGGTTTTCCGGGCACGTCCAACCGGGAGGAGACCTAAAGGTCGACCCAGGACACGGTGGAGGGACTATGTCTCACCAGGCCAGGGAACGCCTTGGGATTCCCCTGGAGGAGCTAGCCCAAGTGACTGGGGAGAGGGAAGTCTGGGCCTCTCGCCTTGTCCCCGCGACCCGACTCTGGATAAGTGGATGAAAATGGATGGATGGATGGATGGATCTTTAAACCTATAATGTGATAAACCATTTAAGGGTTTCACACTATAAAATCTATCAAAATTTAAATGAGATGTTTGCAAACCAGTTGTAAATTTAATAGGCAATCTCTGTTAGCTCAGAGTAGCCGTTAGCTCATACAAGCCGTTTACTCAAACAAGTAGCTAGATCATTCCAGCTGTTAATTCTGAAGAGCTGTTAGCTCAGACTATATGGCACTAGATTCGTGCCAGTAATTTCAAGAAAAACCCTTAGAAGGTCAAACAAAAATTAAGAATGTGCGAGAAAAAAAATAAATTGCAAAAAAAAAAAAAAAAAAAAAAGAGTCCCATAAGACTAGCTGTTAGCTCAGACTAGCTGTTAGCTCAGAGTAGGGGTGTTTCCCAATGTCAAGGCACCTGGCCTTGCGAGGCGATGTCTTGCGAGGCCAGGCGCCTTGCTTACTTGAGGACACGGTCCTTCCTTAGTCAAAGAAAACGGTAAAATGGAACAGACTTGTGTCACGTGACCACGGCTTCCACAGTGGTCACTTGATATGGGAAAAAACGTTATTTCTTTATGTATTACTTTCAATATAAATGTATAACAAGCCTTTTACTTTTTAAAGTGTGTATGTTTATTCAATTAAAAATATAAGTGAGTTACTACCCGCTAGCCACCGAAGCTGCAACTACTAAGCAACTAACCAATCATAGATAACTTCTTTGGATCTAAAAAAAAACATTTTAAATTAGTTGACTTAGTTTTAAACTTGAAAATTGTCCCTGAAGTAGCTGCCGGTTTCTGATCCGAGTCTTTTTGAAAATACCGCGGTGTATTTTGGGTAATTTTTGACCAAGGCTAGGCTACAAGACACCTCCCGTGTATCCTTGCCTCCTTGCTCAGCTAGCTAAAAGGCTAACAAATGGAGAACACACACCTCGGTAGAACCAACATGAACATTGGAACTGATTGGAACATGCCTTGGCGGCTCCTGATGACGTATCTCCTAGGCAACCAGGGCGGGCCAAGACATCAAGGCAAGGTTCCTTGGCATTGAGAAACACCCTGTTAGCTCAGAGTAGCTGTTAGCTAAGACTAGCTGTTAGCTCAGAGTAGCTGTTAGCTAAGACTAGCTGTTAGCTCAGACTAGTCATTAACTCGGACAAGCCTTTAGCTCAAATGAGCCGTTTGATCATTCTAGCTTAGATCAGACAGACTAGCTGTTAGTCGTTAGCGACCATTTACATCAGGAGGTTCTCACTGAAGGCATCAAAACTATGAATGAACACATGAGGAGTTATGTCCTTAACCAAAAAAGGTTAAATAACTGAAAACATGTTTTATATTCTATTTTCATCAAAAAGCCACTCTGCTCTGATTACTGCTTCACACACTCTTGGTATTCTCTTGATGAGCTTCCAGAGGAAGTCACCTGAGATGGTTTTCCAACGGTCATGAAGGAGTTCCCTGAGGTGTTTAGGACGTGTTGGCCCCTTTGTAATTAGTCATGAAAATAAAGAAAACACAGTAAATTAGAAGGTGTCTCCAAACTTTTGGCCTGTACTGTAATAAATAAATAAATGTCAATAAGAAAACCACTAATTGTAATAATAATTTGAGATTGCTATTTTACTGTAGAAATCAAGTTTCTTGGACTGATACAGGACCATAAAATCTGCTGCAAATCCAAATAAAGTGAAATAAAAACTGGGAAAGACGATCGCACAAGGCTCAGCTCCGTCTGTATTTATCTTTAAGCTCACCTTACGGTATATTACTTTTGAGGTAACACCACAAAGCCATTATGTTCATTTCAAAAGATATTTCAGTGTGTTTTTATGGGGTGGGGGCCCAAGGCCATTTAGCCTTGGGCCCCAAGTGCCTTGAAATGGCCCTGGGTGTTAGCCTGGCAAGCTAGACTAAATAGATGTATTATTTAACTTTGCAAAGCAAGAATTTGGTCTAGTTCACTAGGCTACCTGGGTGTGGGACTGAGCCTTGAAGGTCATCTGAATGGTTTCAAATGTAAATAATACATGCTTAGATCCATGGACGTAATTTTCACTTTAGAAGTGTGTGTGTGTGTGTGGGGGGGGGGGGGGGGGGATCTTTACAGTATGCTCTAATGGGAAACAGGCTTCAACACAAACTGTTGTTATCTGCTTGGTCCTAGAGCTCAACTAGTGTCAATTTAATATAGCGTAATATTGTTTTTGGATGGTAAAAAGTGCAGGGGTCAAACCTTGACTTTGGAAAAAGTGGGGGGGGACATGTCCCCCCCCCCCCCCCCCCCCCCAATTACGTCCATGCTTAGATCATTGCTTTAAACAGGCGTAGTGGATAAATCTGCCTTCCTTTTCCTTTTCAAGCACTTATTTACTTTTTTTTATCTCTCTCTCTCTGACTCTCCTCTCAGTCCTCTAGAAAAACTGCTTCTAGGCTTTCTGACCTTTTCACCCCATGAGCTGTGTTTGAACCAAGCAGCTCAACGCGATACCGACCCCAACAGTACACATATGAGGCGGAGCACCTCAGACACGGATACAAGACAGAAACTAGAAAATATGAGCAGAAATGAACAATCACGTTTTAGTTATTTTATTTAGCAGACGCCACTTTGAGAACGTTACTGTGGCTGTGCGCAGGTCAACAAGAAGCTCTTGACCGCATGACCAATCAGAACTCTCCATACCTGAGGGTTCCTGAAGCGAGCGAGGCACAGACTTGGAGAAAAGGGTGGAGTAACTACACATGTCCTTAAGTCTCAGTGGTGTGTGATGAATGTCTCCCTGATGTTTTTCTTTTAGACCTCTTTTATTCTTGAGCTGCCCACATGGGCCCCTAGTGGGCCTGGGCACCAGGGCCCGTGCCCATAATGCCCAATGGATAATCTGCCCTTGGACGCACGAGAGCCTCGTTTAGAGGGGATTGAATCCACCTGAGAATCGTTCTGGGAGGGGAGGGGAGGGGATCACTTTGTCAAGCAAGGATTTATCAGGAGATCCGTTTGGGGATTAGATTCAAAGCTGCATTACAGGTGGTGGACAGGTGAACCCCGAGCCCCCCTACCCTATTTAAAGCGGGCTCTTCACGTTTGACATAGATAGCTTCTTTTACTCCTCTCTCACACCATCTATCTTCTCTGTCCAGAACGTGTCCTTGTCCTTCAGGTGTAGGTGGACTGCAGAGTCCTGACCTGAAGAGGTGGCTCTCCTGTGTTGTGCCATGCATTTGTGTATTTGTTGTTTAGCTTCTCCGATGTTCAGGTCCGGCCTCTGCAGTCCACGTACTCCTGAAGCAATTAAACAATTCAAGAAGAAAGAACCAGTCCTCACAGACGGTGACATCATCTGTTCTTGATGAAGCCAGTAAGTTCTGCTGGGTCAGAACCAGCCCTGATCATCAGCCCTCCACTACCGTGCTGACAGCTGGGACCAGCTGAGATCTAAACCTGCTGAGAACCACGTGAGGTTCTGAACCCATTCCTAGAAAAGACTTCTGAACAGAACAGTTTGTTTGGACCTGAGCTTTTATTTGCTGTGGTTCTGGACCCACTGGCAGAGTCGGGTGCAGTAAGCTTGAGGACTGACGGTAGAAAAGGATCTGCCGGGATGTCTCAGACTCTTCCACAGGTGCTCCAGCTTCTTCCGAAAATTGTAAACAGTAAAAATGTCAATGATGCCGATGAAGTAGCGCTGCTCGGGTCCGTCAATCACGTGTAGGGGATTCTTCAGGTTAGGCAGCAAACGCCGGTTCTGCGCCTTGAAGTCGGCCTGCCCGGCCTCATCAGTTCCGGGTCCAGCGAGTCCTGGGGGAAAGCTGCTGGTTGTCCTGTGAGTGAGCTTGAATCCGCTGTCTGGCTCCGGTGAGGGTAGGGTGGTGTCACTGTCTGGAACCACCCCAGGAACACAGGTGAGGATCGGACTGGATCCTGGATTCACAGACCTGAAGAAAACAAATGAACCGGGTTCTGTTGGATCGGTTCTGATCCGTTTCCCTTTTCCTCATTCATGTAAAGAATTCCGAGTTTGTATCTCCAACAAACAAAAGTAAATCTTTAACAACAACAACGTGAAAGCTGATACTTTTTGGTTCTGACGATGAGCGAGGCAAAGGAGAGGCTCTGGTGGCGCTCGTCCTGGTGGAGCGGCTGCTGGGCGAGGAGGAGGCTGTAATCCAGAACGTTGAGTCTCCGCAGGAGGTCGGTGTCGATGTCCAGCTGCTGGAGGAGCCACGCACGCTGATGCTCTGCACACACCAGGAACATCCACAACAGCAGCCCACGCAGGAGCACCAGGAGCAGGTTCGCATTTACTTAATTCAGTTCTGCTTTTGTTCTAGAAGGTTCTGTACTTTTACGCCGCCTGCAAGGACTGGTACCGTGATCATAAACCAGGAGAAAATCAGGGTGTGAATCACACACAGGCTCCCAGGGGAGCCTGTCACCCTGTTGGGGGAGCTGGGCTCCCCTTAGCTCCCCCGAAATTAGTGAAAAGCATTAGGACTTAACCGAGTGTTCGGCCAGCAGAGGGCGCTCTAACACAGAAAACCTCCTCATCCTTACCCAGAGTGATGAACTGCCCTTCAAAGTTCAGGTCTTTGAGAACCACGATAACCTGGCTCCCCTCTGGTGCCGGTTCTGTCCAGCGGCTCACCTCACAGCCCTTGATGTCGAACCTGCAACACACGAGGACGCAGCGTTAGGTCTCTGGAGTTCCTCCTCCGGTCATTCCTGGGGTTACCTGGCCTGGATGCGTTCATCTGGATAAAACACGCTCTGCATGACGATGAAATATTTCTGTAAACAAGATAAAAAACAGAAAAAGCCTCAAAAGGAACAAATCTGACCAGCAGCTGAAGTTCGGCAGGCTTTACCTTCTGACCCTGAGGGATCTGGATCCTGTGGACTCCTACCAGGAAAAACAGGAAAACCGGTCAGGACTCCACAGATCTGTGTGTGTGTGTGTGTGTGTGTGTGTGTGTGTGTGTGTGTGTGTGTGTGTGTGTGTGTGTGTGTGTGTGTGTGTGTGTGTGTGTGTGTGTGTGTGTGTGTGTGTGTGTGTGTGTGTGTGTGTGTGTGTGTGTGTTACCTAGAAACTTGACCAACAGTGAATGAGGGAACCTCCTCAGATGTTCCACATAGGTCTTCAGGTGTTTCAACAGGAACTGAATTTCTCTTTTGCTCTGAGTCTTCAGGAAGAAGCGTTTATCGTTTCTGAGGGTCAGAAGCACAAAGTCAACAACTTAAAAAAACTGATGACATTTAACGTTTTTGAATAAACGTATGACGTTCCATCTGAGTGGAAAATCTGAGCAGTCCCAGTCAACCTGATGATAAAGTGGGGGAACAGATCCCGGTGATGCGAGGCCTCTGAGGTCAGGAGTGTTTTTACCTTCAGGAAAGCCGTTTTGTTGGGATGTAAAGGAAAAGGAATCACGGTGAGTTAACCTGAGAAATGAGAACCGGATTTCTGAGCCAGTCCTCTAACAGCTCTTCTCTGCAGCGCACCGAGCGGGCCGTGTGGGTGAACGAGGCGTTAACCTTTGTGGGAAGTTTACCGGCGTGAGAGAGCGAACATGAGACTCACGTCAGGAAGAAGTCGGCTTTGCTCTTGGAGTTACTGATGAACTGCAGGAAGCAGCTTTCAGAGCAGAGAGACTGCTGATATTCTTCTTCTGTCATTCCTAAATATTCTCGCAGGCTGGCGAACACTGTGCCAGCAAACGTCTGCATCCTGAAAGCCTACAAACAAACAAACAAACAAACAAACCGCTAAAGCTTTAAGTTCACCGCACAGACAGCTGCTCAGACCTCCGTCATGAACCCACCTTATGAATCTGCGTGACCTCTGACCTGAAGTCATCGTCTGAAAGTTCGTTCTACAGCAGGAAAAAGAACAGCACCATCATGATTCCAGTGATAGTTTATTATTTATGTTTGTGAGAAGTGAAAACCCTCTGTGGGATGTTGACTGTGTGGGACTTGTTGGTCCAGAGGGTCCATCTGCTGCTGCAGATCGATGACTGACTTGGTTGTCATTTCACCTGATCTGCGACCGCATGACCCCGGACACTCGGGTGAGGAGAGGGGGAGCCGTGTACTGGGGGTGAGTGGGCTTTAAGGTGGGGGAGGAAGCCAGTCAGGCCTGGCAGGCCCAAACCTTTTGTAGGGGTCTGTTGGGAACGTCTGGCAGAGTCTCCGGTCAGAAGATGTTTCAATTCCCACCTCTGACAGAACTCCCAAACGTTCCAGGGGTGGCGGGGACATTGGGCCGTGTTCTGCTGAGGGGTCTGACCGGAGCTGGAATCTAACAGCCCGGATCAAAGAGCCTGGTACCCCAAAGCGTCTGCAGTGATGTGGGCGTTGTACCGGTCTGTCGCGGTGACAAGAGAGCTTTACCGGTGGATCTACGTTCCTACCCTCACCTACGGTCACGAGCTTTGGGTAGTGGCCGAAAGACGAGATCACGGATACAAGCGGCCGAATAAAGGGAGGTAGAAATGAAAAAGAGAATAAAATGTAACTTTGATCAAGTTCTGAACTAACCTGGGTTCTGGTTCACGTCAGCTTTATTCTCTGACCACACACACACACACACACACACACGAGCGCACGCACACACACACACACACACACACACACACACACACACACACACACACACACACTCACTCACACGCACACACACACACACACACACACAGACACACGCACGCACTCACACGCACGCACACGCACGCACGCACACACACACACACACACACACACACACACACACACACACAGACACACGCACGCACTCACACGCACGCACAGAGCGAGCAGAGGGTGGAGGTCACCCTGCAGTCAGGCCTCCTGACGTCACACAAACTTTTCCACTTATTGATTATTGATTTTCTGAACAGAACTGAGAAAACCCACACTGGGAGTGTGTGTGTGTGTGTGTGTGTGTGTGTGTGTGTGTGTGTATGTGTGTGTGTGTGTGTGTGTGTGTGTGTGTGTGTGTGTTCATCCTTTATTTTAGACGTTAGAGGTTTAATTAAACTTGAACAACAAGCGCTGCTTGTTTCCAGCTACGATTAAACAACCTGATGAAGATAAACGTTTAGTTTGTTCCTTAAATAACAATGAAAACATATTATTAGAATTATATTTGGTCCACTTCTGATAAAATACCATTTTTTTCCACTGTTAATTTAATAAAAACTATATATTCAGGTCAAAAACAGAGCTACTGTGGTTTTATTTTGATAGTGGGTTAGCTAATTAGCATCTTGAGAGACTGTGAAAAGCAGATTTTAAAGGTTACACACAATAATTTACAATAACAGACAACTTAATTGTACTTTATTAGTATTTCAAATATAAAACTCTACAGGTATTAGAGTTCTCCTCTGACGTTCAGAGTATAACAGTTGTGATGCAATGCATTGTGGGATACGGGTGGAGCACGAATCTAATCTTGCCAACTTAGTACTGGAGCAGTCCTTGGGCCATCGCTGATGATGTTCACAAGGACGTGAGTACACAAGTACACCATTGACATAAATATTAGACAATGGGTTTCCGTAGACTCCAATAACACGTTTTTGAAGATAAATGGGAGGTGGCCACCACCGCCATTTTGACCGTGTCACAGGTTCCGTCAAGCCCAGACAATTCCATAAAAGGGAAGAGAGGTGGAGCTGAGGGTGGGGCTGTAAGGCTGGGATCAACTGACGACACCCGGTCAAACTAGCTACAAGCTAACCTGAAGCGAACCCAAAGCTAACGCGGAGGTGGGAGCTAAGCTAACGGAGGTAGCATCCTAGCTACAACCGGAGTTAACTGTGCACAACACCAGAGCTTCTGAGTCAGAGATACGCCGGGCTGACCGCTGGGTAAAACCGGGTGGAAAACATCGGTCTCCCGAGAGCTCCACAAGACGATAGTGGGAACCCAGCTCCACCAACATGTTATATTTCAACCCATTTTCTAAAGTGCAGCATTATGTTAAATGCACTGGGTTTTACCCTATTACATTTAAATTTCATGGTTAAACAGTACATGTTAAAATCTAAGCTCAGCTCGGCAGTGACCTAAAATACATAAATATAATTTTACTTACCGAAAAAAATGAAGTGGAGACTCCTTGGACGCGCTATTAGTGCAATTAATGCCACAGCAAGTCATTTTGTCCAACAATTGCACAAAAAATATCCAAAAACAGAATACACAAACACGGAGACTCTAAATCCCAGAACAGTTTCCAGGCCAGACCGAGGCTCTACTGAGGCCTTTCCACGGAGCTAGCTCTGCGGTCACGTGGGTCTGATGCTCATTAATTATACAGAATTTTAGGCTTTTAATACACTTAAACAGAAGAGTGAGAAAAAATTCACCCCCCCTCAAAGTTGTCATGAGTGTAAACTAGATCATTTAAACCTAAAACATGTTTTGGTACCAGGCTGTAAACATGTTTATTTCTGCTGTGAAATTGTTATTTTTAACATGGGAGTCAATGAGGATTTGCTCGCTTCTGACACCAGCCCCTAGTGGATGAGGGTGGAACTGCAATTTATTTCATTTCCGGGTTTGCTTCAATTTTTCACCCGCATTGTGGGGGCTTGGTACAGACAACTATGCATACTGAGAAATGGCCCCAGCTCCACCCACCATCTCCACCCTCCATCTCTACCCATCATCTCCACCCTCTGGCTCCACCCTCCATCTCTACCCATCATCTCCACCCTCCATCTCCACCCTCTGGCTCCACCCTCCATCTCTACCCATCAACTCCACCCTCTGACTCCACCCTCCATCTCTACCCATCATCTCCACCCTCCAGCTCCACCCTTCATCTCCACCCTCTGGCTCCACCCATCATCTCCACCCTCCATCTCTACCCATCATCTCCACCCTCTGGCTCCACCCTCCATCTCTACCCATCATCTCCACCCTCTGACTCCACCCTCCATCTCTACCCATCATCTCCACCCTCCAGCTCCACCCTTCATCTCCACCCTCCATCTCTACCCATCATCTCCACCCTCTGGCTCCACCCATCATCTCCACCCTCTGGCTCCACCCTCCATCTCTACCCATCATCTCCACCCTCCAGCTCTACCCATCATCTCCACCCTCCATCTCCACCCATCATCTCCACCCTCCATCTCTACCCATCATCACCACCCACCAGCTCCACCCTCTGGCTCTACCCATCATCTCCACCCTCCAGCTCCACCCTCCATCTCCACACTCTGGCTCCACCCTCCATCTCTACCCATCATCTCCACCCTCTGGCTGCACCCTCCATCTCTACCCATCATCTCCACCCTCCAGCTCCACCCTCTGGCTCCACCCTCCATCTCTACCCATCATCTCCACCATCTCCACCCTCTGGCTCCACCCTCCATCTCTACCCATCATCTCCACCATCTCCACCCTCTGGCTCCACCCATCATCTCCACCCTCCATCTCTACAATTCATCTCCACCCTCCATCTCTACTCATCATCTCCACCCTCTGGCTCCACCCTCCATCTCTCATTTCCACCCTCTGGCTCCACCCACCAGCTCCACCCTCCAGCTCCACCCGTCATCTCCACCCACCAGCTCCATCCATCATCTCCACCCTCCAGCCCCACCCTCTGGCTCCAACGCTCTGGCTCCACCCACCAGCTCCACTCTCCATCTCCACCTGATGGCATGTCTTAGTTAAAACGACACCTTTGACAGGTATGCTGATCCACACTGCTCCATGAGGTGAAGAGCGCTGTATGGGGTGGGTGTCTCTGTGTGGAACAGAACCACCTGGACCAGACCAGAACACAGCATCATCACCCTCCACCTCAGTGACCAGCAGAACCTTTGAAACCAGCTCTCAGTCAGAACCAGCAGAGTGGATCGGTACAGCCCGTTGCCATGGTGATCAGATGGGTCTGACCCGTGTTTTGATGGATCCGGGATCTGCTGGTAGGGTACTCACCGTGGGGAGGCTGATGGTATTCTGGATGGCTGCAAATAGACCCTCCTTCATCATGCAGGTCAGGCTGTAGAACTCGTGGTTCTGGTCGATCTCAAACAGACCCAGAAGTTTCCACTGCTGCCTCAGACCCCCCCATCTCATCCTCTTAACGGAGCGGCGGCGGTAAGAAGTCCTGGGAGCGCCGGATCCCTCCATTTGGACTCCAACAGAACAGGAACGGGTCAGCTGACCCGGTCTGTCGTTCACAGCTCCGACTAAAGAAATCAAAGAGTGAGAGAGGCCCGAGAGCTAAACAAAACACAGAACCTGGTCACCATGGAGACCGACACAAAGGGATGAAAGCTCAGCGGACCGCGGCGCAGCGCTAGTGACACAGTTCAGCAGATTTACGCGGTCCAATATCACAGAGTCAGGGGTGGACTGGGATGGAACCAGTACCACCATCACCACCTCTGGGTTCCGGGTCTGGTTAGTTTACTGCACGCATCCCATCCTGCACGTGAGTTCAGGTGAGCGACCATTAAGACTTATGTGTCAATAAGCTCATAACATTAAAACTGGATGAATGGGTGAGGTGGTGACGTGGCTCGGGGAGTTTACGCTGCTCGAGGGTTGCTGGTTCAAACCCCCTCCTTGCCTGCGCGTATAGTGTCAGTGCCCCACAGCCTCAGTGTGGACGACCTTCTGGCTCACTCACTCCGGCCCCCCTGACCACCACAGCAGGGAGGTACAGGTCCTGCCCAAGGACACAACGGCTGATATAACGGCGCCTGGGTTCGAACCAGCAACCCATCCGTGAACTCCTGAGCCTCTGATGGATGTTCTGATAATAAACCTGATTCTGTTGAAACTAAATAAAGTTTATTCCAGATCAAAGAGGCGAGCCGCAGATCTTCATCATCATCATCACCAGAACTCACCTCAGAACGGACCGCAGCTTTGAGCCGGCTCGGTGGGTTCGGGTCTCTGACTCACATGTCCGCGCGGAGCCTGGTCGCACCACGGACCGGGTCCCACCCGGTGACACGCACGGACCGAACCACCGCAACGGACCGAACAACTTGCAGGAACCGGTTCTGCAACGTCATGCAGCGATGGTGCAGAACGATGAATAGCTGACAACAGTTTGGTCCAGCTGGAGGCTCCGGAAGCTTCTACACCCCCCCACCCCCACACACAGGCACTGATTGGTCAAGCTGAGGCTGAGCCTGGTGCAGGTCCAGATCAGGCCCAGGCCTGGAGGAGATCCTGGTTCCGGGTTCTGAACTCTTTTCTATCATCGTCATCATGTCTGTGAGTTAGAAACGAGCGCAGATCCAAAGCAGAAAACATTTTAGTTTTATTTTAGAAAAACGATCATCCGGGAACTTCAGCTGCAGTAAAACACCAGAACAGCTGGATTTCAGCACTCAGATGTCAGTCGGTCTGCTTTGAGTGAACACATCTGGATGTGAAACAGATTCAAACAGGCTCCATTTAAACATTTACTCTTTCTAAACAATCAAATAAAATCTGGTTAAATCAGGTGAATGTTGACATCATCTAGACATGTGACCTCTGGTTCTCTGCTGCAGCAGGTGTGATCTTATAGAACCGGTCTGGTTCTAGTGAAGTCCTCTGAGACCTGAATAGAACCAAGTCTGAATCTGCAGAACGTTTTCTCCATCGTGTAGTACGAGCTGGGCCACTAGGTGGCGCCAACGCGCTATAAATGACGTCTGAAGCGGAAGGGCATCAAAGGGACATTTCTCTTCTTTGCAGAAGAACATGTTGTTTATAACTGCAGGAAAAAGTCTACTGTGCAGAACAAAAGTATGAGCTGGTGGTTCTGGTGTCGCCGCCAGCAGGAATAACCTTTAAGGGGTTCAATCCTCCTTAGGCCACTTTCTTTGGTTTGTGGTCCTTCCACATGATGAAGGTAGTGAAGGCTCCTGCAGAGGAAGCACAGAGTCATCTCCTTTCATCCACGGAAAACATCAACATCCCATATTCATGCGACAGAAAATAAACAGAATGTTTTAATGAAGAAGTTTATGAGTGAAGATACTGACCAACAAAGAGGACAAAGATTACTGCAGCAACACCTGGTAGGATCACAGAATATTCCCGAGGAAGGAAACATCTGTGCAGGGGGTGATCCGAGTCTACAAAAGGCTGGAAAGTAGCACAAAGGTGACCTAATGAAGCTCAAGTCACATGATCAGATACAGAACTCAAGATGAGGACATGGAAGATGTTTCATTTAGAGAAATGTTAGCTGCAAACACCCAACAGAACCCACCAGAACGATGACCCAAACAGTGTAGTAGGAGAACAACAGGAGGCTGAAAACAACGAGACTCATCCCGACCGCCTGATCTGCTCCCGACGCCTGGAAGCACAAATGCAGCCTGGGATCAAGATCCAGCTTCCTGATCATCAACAGGAAGAATCAGAGATAAACAGTGAGGTGTTTGTGTGCGCGCGCGTGTGTGTGTGTGTGTGTGTGTGTGTGTGTGTGTGTGTGTGTGAATTAAATACAGTCTTATAAAAAGCTGCAGGATCCGGCATCGGTACGGTGGTTCTGGGAATGACTCAAAGTTTATTCTTTTAAGTATTATTTTATTTTTTAATTTTATATCATTTATTTATGTAGTTTATATCTATAAATATAGTATCTATTAATATATAATAAATATATTTTAAATAGAAAAAAAGTGTAATCACCCAAAATAAACTACTGAAGGACTGGTGCATTTCTTGGTTTGGCCTAAATGTCTTATTTAATCATGTTTCTGATGCCGTTCATTTAAAAACTCCATTCAAACTTTGAACACAAGACTTTAGTTCAAATCTGCTGATTCTTGATTTTGTTTGTTATGAAAATGTAAACAAATTAACCAGAAAGCTCTGATGTGTCACTTCCGTTGTTGTAAATACAATAAATCACAGATATGACATTTATTTTGGTAAACCATAACCCCAAACAAATAAAACAAATAAGGGCTGCACCGATTCTAGTTTGAAGGGCCGATACCGGCTCGGCTCACGATGACTCCTGCAGCACTGGTGATGTTTTTATTCTGAGCCTACTTCTGTCACCTGCTCGTGGATTAGGGTTAGGATTACAAACGCATTTCTTTTACACGCATTTGGATTAATAAATGATTTAATCCAGAATGTTCTCTCTCCATTAGGGTGTCTCAGTGATTGAGTGAAAAACAACAGGGTGGACAGCGCAGCACTGGCGACGGCTCGAACATCAGCATGTCTTTAAAAAAGCACGACAATAAACTTTAAAAGGAAAAAATAAACCCGACAAAAACGTAACGAAAGAAAAAGGCAGTCCATCTCTTCGTAAACAGACTTAAAACGTGATTTTTGTCATTAAAATGAGTTCAAAATAAACGAAACTTAAAACCTAAAATTAGCTTAAACAAGCTAACATTTAAACACACAAACCACAAAGTAAAGCCCTCTTTAAAACAACACCTGTCCGTTTAAAACTGCGTTCATTTGTAAATAATTGACATTTCTTACCATTGTCGCAGCCCCGTACTGAAAGATTGTTTACTTCCGGGTTCTTCTTCGTTTTCTAAATCCCTCAGAAAGACTCGATCTCTACCGCCACCTGGTGGTCGACCACTGCAACAGCTTCCATTTGGTTTAAAAGGAGTTTCAGAACTAAAGACTTTTATAGATCTTTATGAGTACACACTAGTACTATAATAATACACTACTCCAGTCTGAGTGTACCACGCCACGCCCGTCACGTGGCGAGGCAGGTCTTGTGGTGGTCTTTAAGGACAAACATGTCTAATCTGGTGAAAAATGGCCCCTTTAATACTTTTGAATGTCAGGTCACCAAATGTATTCAGTGTGTTTTAATCTACCGACCTCCCGGTCCAGCTGGCCATTCTCTGAATCAGCAGAACTTTTGTCATCAAACTAGAAAAAGTTTTGATTCTTGGTGAACGTTTTTAAGGCCCATATGAGCTCTGGGACAGCTGAAAACGTCAGTGTGAGTCTCTTTATTCTCTCCTCTTGTCTGAGCTGATGGCGCTGTATGCGTGGCGCGCTTCCAAACAATTCAATTCAATTTATTTATAAAACGCCAAATCACGATCAGAGTCGTCTCATGGGCCTGCACACAGTAAACATTCCAGTACAGGTCAGTTCATTAAGCCAATCAGTAACAAGTTTCCTATATAAGGAACCCAGCAGGTTGCATCGAGTCACTGACTAGTGTCAGAGTCTTTACAGCAATCCTCATACTAAGCAAGCATGCAGCGAAAGTGGAGAGGAAAACTCCCTTTTAACAGGAAGAAACCTCCAGAGGATCCTGGCTCAGTATAAGCAGCCATCCACCACGACTCACTGGGGATGGAAAAGACAGAACGAACGAACGAACGAACACACACACACACACACACACACACACACACACACACACACACACACACACACACACACACACACACACACACACACACACACACACAGGATGGCTGGCAAATGATTCTTTTATAAATCTCGGAGATTTCTCCTAATAAATGACCGGAAAGACTACCGGTAGTCATCGTAACGTGGAAAAAAGTCCCGGTAAAGCACTGCTGTCACAAAAGATCCTCCTATAGAAGGAAACTAAAAACACGCCCCCCCCCCCCCCCCCCCCCCGAATTTCTAATCATCTTTTTTTTGTTTTACTTTTCTGATGTGAATCCATTTCTGTTAGCGAACACTGTTTTGCTTTGATCTATGTGAAGCACTTTGTGACTCTGATAAGTGCTATATAAATAAAATGTGCTTTAGTTACTAAAACTACAATCTTGAAAATTTCGTTAGAATTAACAGGACTCTTCTTGTTTCCCTTGAAGACGTGTGGCTTCTCATCCAGGAAGCTTCTAGTAGTTTCCAACCAGGCCGTCAGGTTTCCTGCCCTGGACCTACACCGACCTACACACACGCACCAGAACAACGTGCTGGACTTCACTTTTAACTGCTGTGGATGAAAGACTTCTGAATCCTCTCCAGTTTTTCAAACGAAGGAAAACTTTCCCTGATAAAGAAACACGACATTAACTGAACAAAAGCTAAAGGACAATCTAATTATGGATTAAATGAAATAAACTTCAGAAATATTTGAGTTATGACCGCATGGAACAATCTCAACCCAGAGATGGAAAATCACCACAGGTTTTATTACATTTGGTTCACAGAGTACACACATAAAATATCAGATCTCACGTGACTTTCATAATTATGTTTACAAAAGGAGGTAAAAGCAGTTACAGCTCCTATAAAACCCTACAGTGGTTCCAAGGTTTATAGGAATACAATCTTCTGGCATTTGCCTTCAGCTAAATCATCATCTGGTTAAATCGTTCCCTAAATATAAATAAAAAAACATATAAATAAAAAGTAGTGGATCCAGAATTTCCTCAAACCTCCGATCTGTGAATTAAAGCAGCAGCAGAGTTAAAACAACCAAATCCCAGTGAAACCAGTTTAACACCACCAGACAGGAAGTTAACATCGCAGGAGTAAATTCTGTTGAGTAAAACCAGCCTGAGGACCAGCTCGCTGGTCCAGAAGACTCTGTAAAGGTTCTGTTTACCGTCTCCACAGAAAACACTCATCCTAACAGATCAGAACAAAATGATTAACAGAACTTTGTTTTTTCAGTTCAGCAGAAGCCCCACCCCCACGGTACCAGAACCAGAATTCCCAATAACAAACACAAAAGTCCCTTTTATGGTTGGGAAGCATCCAGAACTCAGCCCAATAGAACCACAGACTACTGGATGTTTAGACTCTGGTACCAACAGCCTCACAGAGACCCGGTCTGGTTCTGGTTCTTTAGACTCACTTAAGAGAAGGGACAGGATCTGAGCTCCAACTCGTCATTTAACCTACACACCAAATAAAAAAAAAACTAGATACTAAAACCAGTTCATCTAAATGTTCCCTCAATAAAGTTTCTTTGATTTACAAAAACATCATCAGTGTCCACACTTTTCCTTCCGTTGGTATAAAAATACCGCGGAGCAGTTAGCAACTAGCATGCTAGCAGTAAAGAGTTAAAACTTTAACCGAATAAATAACTCGGCACAAAAACAGGGAAGCTAGCAACTAGCAGGTCTGCTAGCAGCTAAACAGTAAATAACCCTGTTTTTGATATAGCGCCTTCTAGAGTCTTGGAACCCCCCAAGGCGTGTTACAACACTGTCGAGCACTGGCGCCACCGGTCGCTCTGACCACCTCCAGCAGCCGGGGGTGGGGGGGTGGGTTAAGTGTCTTGCTCAAGGACACAACAACAGTGACAGACTGAGCAGGGCTAAAACCTGCAACCTTTTGATTACGGGGCGAGCACTTAGCTTCGGTGTTAACAAGCTAACAGCTCCAAAGCACTTAGTGGAGTCCACACTGGACTTTTTCCACCTTTCATTACTTAATTAATGTCAACTTGGATTATTTAGGAAGGCGGTTAGCTCCAAAACACAGATTTAGCAGATGAAGATCTTTTTTATCTGCTTCTGGAGAAATGAAACACCAGAAAACTAGGAGGTGTCTACACCAGACTGTCACTGCACAGAGATTTAATAATGTTAACTCTAAGCTAACGGGGTTGGGAAACTAACGGGGTGAGGTCATTAGCAGCTAACGCTACGACCATTTAGCTTTCAGCTTCCTCAGGAGCTATAAAAGGTCAAACTGGAGTTAATTAGTCCCACTGGATTAATTAGTGAATCTAAATTAGGATTAAAATAACAACAAGATGAGTCTCGTTACTTCAGGACCATGCTAGCTAGCATTAGCTGCTATGGTACGGTATGGTGCTAGCTAGCATTAGCTGCTATTTCATCTTACGTCAGTTTTGCAAGTTTCTAATGGTTTCATTCAGTAGAATAACCCGAGTTCCTACTTTCTACTTAGACCCAACAACCTTTTCATGATACACATTTAAGGAGTCGAGCAGGAGCGGACGGCGTGCTTCCGTAACCCGACGTCAGCAGGACTACTTTAGTGGTTATTAATGTCCAAAAGATTCAAGCAAGGAGAAACAGATGAGACGATTAAAATCAGGTTTTTGTTTCAGCAGGATCGTTTGACCTGTTCACAGGGGATTTCCTGGATCCTGATTGGCTGATATTTGTGATGTTTTTACTTTAATACGCTGAAGGTTTCCAGGTTTTTACCAATCAGATCCAGTTAAACGAGGTTTCAGGGATTCATTCTGACCTCAAATTTCCCTTTTTGTTTTTATTTGTCTGAATACATTTAAATCATAGAAGAAGGAATCCTCAAAACAATAAAACCATCCCATAAAACAACATTTAGGGAAAAACAAGTCCTAGAAACAAACATGGATTCAGGAAAACTCCAAATGTGAGTCGGATAGAAAACAGTTCCCACAATGCACTGGTTCTGGGTCTGGGTGTGATAATTAGAGATGCACCAACAGGTACCGTCTGAGCTGCAGAATATATCGAGATAGATCAGATTAATCAGAACTAATCTGAAATTCACTAAAGGCTACTTTATGCTAACAGATTAACCGGCTAAATACGAACATTTAATTTGATCAGAATATCCATTTTCATTTTGGTCATTCTTTGAATAAAGTTGGTATCGGCCCAAAGGTCAAAATCGGTGCATCTGCAGAAGATGGGTTTAACGGAGAAGAACTCACTGAAATTTTTATAGGAGCTGCAGTTTGATGTGAGAGGGAAAAGCCGAGCTCCAGAACCATCAGAACAACAATCATCCTGGTACTGCTCCTGGATCCGTGTTGCTGCACCGGTTCTGTTTCTGTGAGGAGTTTGGATCCTGTTCCTCAATGGTTGCTTTTTTTTTTTAAACGGGAAAACCCGTATTCCCGGCAGACATTCCCAGTGTGATTCCACACATCATTCCAGCTTCAGAACATGTTTGCAGACCTGTGAGCAGAACCAACCAAACCCATTTTGGTACCCGCCGAGCGTCTCTGACTAAATACATTATGGTCATTTGTGCAAAAACCAAATGGAAACCAAGGGGCCCGGTTCTGGATATTTGAAGTAAATTCATTCAGATTCTACAGAACCGAACGTTTCTGGCTCTAAAAACCCAGAACAACAGAAACTAGAAATGAACTCAAACCACAATTCTGAGACTCAGATCCAGAGCCCGGCTCCTGGTAGTGCTGGTCATATGAGAATCTGGACCCACAGAGAAGCAGACTGAACATACGGATCTGGATCAGAACCGTTACAGACTCGTTGATCAGCGAGTCTCGATGACAACCGGCTCAAAGGTTCCAGGAGTTCCGCTGGAACAGAACAGAAACACACAGTCAGAATTAGGAACCGGGCCGGTGGGAAGACCCGTCAGGTGGGAAACCTACCTGCTGGCGAGCTGCGTCCGGCCCAGGGCCGTGGTTCCATCTTTACTGACGTACAGCTTCAGGTTGCTGTCTGAGGAGGAACCAGAGGTCCAGAATGTAAAAGTTACAAACCTCAGAGATGTTTCTAAAATATCAGCTGCTCAAAAAGCCAGAAACAGAACCCATCTGATTTTTAGCATCATGGTTCTGGACTCAGACTCTCTGGGTCCATCTGGGTCGGAGGGCTGAAAGCGCCTGACTCGCTGCTGCTGGGTTAGAGGTCAGAGGTGGCTCGCCGTTGGAGGAGTGACCGGCAGGCTGCACCCGCAGGGCGCTGCTAATAACTCACGCACCGGGCCTCTGGCGTGGGCCGCGAATGGGGGGTGGGGTGGAGCGGTGGCGTGCATTAAACGCCCGGGACAATTATTACATGAACGGAGGGGTGGGCAGAAGTCTGTAACAGAGGAGGAAACAGCGCCACAGGAGGAGGAGACGAGAGCAAACAGGACAGATTTGGACACTTTCACTACGATTATCCAACCGGCCCGAACGGGTCAGAGTTAGTAAATGTTTCACTAGCAGTCGGTTTTTACCATTTAAATGTGTTTGTGTCGCTTTCTGGTTCACGTTGAACAAAAGTTATTTCAATAATAAACAGTTGATGACATGTTTACGCAGTTTGTATAATCTATGGTCATGAGTTCATTCTGAAACAAAACATGTGAGGAGTCGTTCAAGAGCCAAAAGAGCCGGTTCATTTTTAGCGAGTTGAGCTGGTTCATTTTGGCGAGCCGAGACGTTAGAACCGATTCTCTTAAAAGAGCCGGCTCACTTTGGCGAGCCGAGCAGTTAGAACCGGTTCTTTGGCAAGCCGAGCAGTTAGAACCGGTTCTCTTAAAAGAGCCGGTTCACTTTGGCGAACCGAGCCTTTAGAACCGGTTCTCTTAAAAGAGCCGGTTAATTTTAGTGAGCCGTATAAACCGGTTCTCTTAAAAGAGCCGGTTCATTTTAGCGAGCCGTAAGAACCGGTTCTCTTAAAAGAGCCGGAGTTTTAATCACTGGTTCGAGGACCAGAAAACCGATCAGACTCTTGATTGATAAATCACCCGATTCCTTTCACTAGCAGATGTTTTTGTCCGTCTCTAGTATAACAAGTGTGTCTGGACCACAGAAACAGCGGATCAGAACCCAGAACCTTAGAGCTGAGATGGAGATGTTCTGGTAACCCACATTTCACCACTTCTCAGAAACCCAGGTCTAAAAACGGTAAACCTTCATCTCTGCTGTTGTCAGAGAAGTTCTGGCTCTGAATGATCTTCTCCACGATGTCATCCGCATCGATGCGCGTGTCATCCACGCAGCTGTGCGGGCATTCCACTCCCTGTTTCTTCCTCCTGCAGGTGGAACACAAGAACGTCTGAAATAACACAAATGTTCACGTTTACCCGATAAAGAACACACCCACCAAAGCAAGCAACCTCATCTGTGTTTGAACAGTTTTGATCCAGTTGAGCTTTCAGAGTTATCAAAAATATTAGCTTCATCTAAACCTTCAACTTGCATTTTGGATCCAATCCCAACCAAATTATTTAAAGAAGCATTTCCTTTGGTTACTGCCCCCATTCTAGATATAATCAATCTATCCTTAGTAAATGGATATGTACCACAGGGTTTTAAGGTTGCTGTAATCAAACCTTCACTTAAGAAGCCATCTCTGGATCCAGATGACCCAATGAATTATAGACCAATATCTAACCTTCCATTTTTATCCAAAGCCCTGGAGAAAATAGTGGCCATCCAAGTATGTGAGCATTTAAACACTAATGCTCTGTTTGAGGAATTTCAGTCTGGTTTTAGAGAGTATCACAGCACTGAAACTGCATTAGTGAGTGTTACAAATGATATTCTCATGGTCTCAGATAAGAATCTTGTGTCTGTTCTAGTCTTGTTAGATCTCAGTGCTGCCTTTGACACAGTTGATCACAATGTTCTTGTAGAAAGACTTGAACATGTTGTAGGGATCAAAGGAGCAGCGTTAGGCTGGTTTAAATCCTACCTGTCTGACAGATTTCATTTTGTAAATGTACATGACAAATCTTCATACTCCAGGGTTACTTGCGGAGTACCACAGGGTTCAGTGCTTGGACCAATTCTTTTTACGATATATATGCTCCCAATTGGTAAAATCATTAGACAGCATGGGATAAACTTTCACTGTTATGCTGACGACACTCAGCTATATTTATCCATTAACCCTGATGAACCTAATCGGTTGGGTAGATTACAGGCTTGTCTTGACGACATAAAAAAATTGGACGACTCAAAACTTTCTGCTTTTAAATCAAGACAAGACGGAAGTTCTCATCTTTGGACCAGAAATCCAGAAAAGGAAATTGCTTAGCCAGTCGCCTGACCTGAATGGCATTACATTAATCTCCGAGAACAAAGTAAGGAACCTTGATGTTATCTTTGACCAGGACATGTCATTCAAATCCCAGGTTAATCAGGTTTGTAGGATTTCCTTTTTCCACCTTCGGAATATTGCTAAGATTAGAAGCATACTTTCCAGGCGTGATGCTGAAAAACGAGTTCATGCATTTATTACATCAAGACTGGATCACTGTAATTCATTACTCTCAGGAAGTCCACAGAATGTAGTTAAAAGTCTCCAGCTTGTCCAAAATGCTGCAGCTAGAGTTCTGATGAGAATTAAAAAGAGAGATCATATCTCTCCTGTCTTGGCTTCCCTACATTGGCTACCTGTTAAATTCTGAATAGATTTTAAGATCCTCCTTCTCACATATAAAGCTCTTAATAATCAAGCTCCATCATACATCAGTGATCTGATTGTTCCATACGTTCCTAACCGAGCACTTCGCTCTCAGACTGCAGGTTTACTGGTGGTTCCCAGAATATCTAAAATTAGGATGGGAGGCAGATCTTTTAGTTATCAGGCTCCTCTCTTGTGGAATCAGCTCCCAGCCTTAGTCCGTGAGGCAGACACCTTGTCTACTTTTAAAACTAGGCTTAAAATATTTTTATTTGATAGGGCCTATGGTTACAATCTTATGTTAGCCCAGATCTGGACAAGTGGGGGAGTAGAGGGAGGTGGAGTGTACAGTCGGTAAAGACGGCTCTCCCTTACCCTGACTCCAACATGCCTCCATCTAAAAAGGCTAGGTTATCCAGAGTTATCTCTGTAGTTATGCTGCTATAGGCTTAGACTGCTGGAGGACACACTGACCACTTTCCACACTCGACTACTTTCTTCTACAATCTGCTCTTTAACTGTATTATTTCCTGCTATTTCAGCTGTTAACTTTATTTTTTCTGTAAGTGTTTTTCTCCCCAGAAGAAGCTACAATGATGTTCTGCTGAGCTGTGGTGGCCTTATGGAGGGGGCCATCGTCTAGCACACTGTTGCTAACCACTTAAACATTCTCCCTCTCCTGATAACATTTTACTTGTTCAAGCTGGCTCTCTAATTTCCCTCTGGGATTAATAAAATATCTTTGAATTTGAATTGAACTGAATTGTATGACCTTCTTCACCACTCTCTCTTTATTCTGCTCTCCCCACCTATTCCACCTTCCCCAGGATCCACTGATTTCCCTCTTTCCTGTTCACTCTCTCTCTTTCTTAACATTTTTTTAAAATCACAATTGCCTATTTTTGCTCATTTTAAATATATTTTTAAACATTTTCTAAATGCTTTTTTATATTTTTACATTTTTTGTTTTTGTGAAGCGCCTCGTGATTTTTATCCTGAGAGGTGCTATAGAAATTATATTATCTTCTTCTTCTTCTCTCTTTGACGTTGGATGTGCTACTACTAGTTTACCCGTTTAATTATAGATTCACTAGGATTAATACAATAAAGTTTATCTCTCACCAAATAGAATATTTACTAAGAAATCACAATGTAACCTGTGTGTGTGTGTGTGCGTGTGCGTGTATTGCACCTTTTTATTTTATATTTTTCCCCTTGGAGGGATCGTGGAGGGGAGGGCGACTTGGTCGATCCTTAGGAGATGGCGGTACAAACTACCTTTCTTCAGCTGAATGAAGATAAGACTGAGATCCTCATCTGTGCTCCAGACAAGCTGGTTCCCAGACTCTCTTGGTCAGCTTGCTTCTCACACCAATCCCTCTGTCAGGAATGTTTGTGTGACCTTTGACCTCTGGATTCTCATGTCAGCTCTTTTCCAGCTGGCATTTCTACAATCTGTAGATTTTGGCCTCCCTCTTTATCTGTTATTGTGAAGCACCTTATGATTTAAAGACGTACCTGGATGACCGGAGTGCGGCTGCAGAGGGGGGAGGAGGTCTCTCTGGTCTGGACGGTGCTGCCCGTTGGTGAGGCTCACTGGGAGTGCAGGGAGGAGCCTGAGAGGAATGGGCGGGGCCACAGGAAATGCCACTGCTGGAGGAGGCGTCTCTATGGGGACTGAGGTCTGTCAGGCTGGAGCAGCGAGAAGGACCTGTGCTGTAACCTGGGTGGGGGAGAGATTAATCACTGTGTGTTCTGTTGACCTCTGACCCAGACTGGTCCACCTTTAGGCTTGCTGCCTCCTTGCAGCAACATTCCTTCATCATGTTCAGAGATGCTGTGTTATTTCTACACGTGTACGGGCGTGCACAGACCCATCCATCCAGAACCAGAGCTATTCTTCAGGCACAGCTGGTCCAGACTCCACGTGTTCTCAAAATCTTTACCTTCCTCAGGTCACGCATGCCGTCACCTGAATGAAGGGGGCAGAGCTGCAAGGGCTGCTGGGAGCTAAAGGAGAACCCTCACCTGAGATTTTGCTGTGTTGACTAGCGTAACTGGACCTCCGGATGTGACCGGGGCAGAAGATCTCGTCTGGGTTGGAAATGCTCTCTCCGTGCTCTGGAAGTCCTGCAAACACACAACAGATCCTAGAACCAGAACCAGCAGGCTCAGCCCCATCCTCCGGATCATCTCCTTCTGAAGGATGCTCTCATCCCAACGAAGAAGAAGAAAGTTGTGTGGGGTGTGCGCCAGAGACGACGCTGCTGGACGTCTGGAGTGTGTGAAGTAACTTCAGCTTCAGCTGCGTCCTGTTCAAGGCTGAAGATGTTGGGGTGACGGTGGTGGAGGAGATTAGTGCCCGCCCCGTAACCGGACGGTTGCAGGGTCGAGACCCGTCCGTCGCAGTCGATGTGTCCTTGGGCGAGACTCTCCACCCTCTGGCAGTGGTCGGGGGACCAGCGGTCCCAGGGCAGATGCGGCTACGGTGAAGCTCATCACCACCAGCGTGTGAATGTGTGTGTGTGGGGTTTGTGTTGTAAAAGAGCCTTGGGGGGTGGTACACAGGACATTTATCATTTAGACTGTAGATAAGCTGATATGAGCAGAGCGTGGTGGTTCCGGGAACACATCTGAGCATCTTCTAGAGCAGTGCTTCCCAACCTTTTGACTCGTGGACCGCCTGAGCCGTTTTCTCATTCCACGAGCACCGCTTAGTCAAACGTGTCGATGCTTCCCCAAAAGTAGAACGCACGACTGATTATTAAATGAAATTAATTTCCTTAAATCTCCTTAAAGTCTCTTTCCGGAGTATTTCTCTTGTCCGATGGCGCCATCTAGTGGCTGACAAGCATATCACACTCGTGATTGTTTAAGATGGCGACTTCACGTTTCTGGTTATAAACGTGCTTCTGTAGCGACAAACAGCTAAAACACGTTTTTACGAGTATTATTCTCATGTCCTGTTGTGTTCTCATTTATTTATATCTTAGAGACTTATTGTCCGTGAAAAGTTCATCAACTCTGCATCAGCCGAGGTGTTCCTTACATTTGAAGCATGTAAGCGGTAGTCTAACGCTATTGGTTAGTTCTGGTCGGCGACCAGGTTCCTATTCCTGCTCTGCGGGGCAGAGGGCGTGCTTAGCAAAAAAAAAAAAAGACATATTACTTACATTACATCACTGTACACGATGAGATCAGCACTTTTACAGGTTTCTGAAAAACCTCACATCATTTCTGAAAGGAGAAAACTCCGGAAAGATACTTTAAAGAGCAAGTCACCCCCTACCGGAGTCTAACTCCACTCCCACTTCATGTTTGAAAAATGCAACAAATGCTGTTGCCTGGCAGACCGAGAGGGCGGAGCTGCTAACAAATACACACACACTCAGGCTCACGACAGCATTGTGACATCATAATGTACCAGTTTACATCATAGCATACATCTTAGCCAATAGCGGTGGCAGTTTTAAATTCAAATACAGTGCAGAGTTTTTACCTGACAATGGCACAACACTGCCAGTTTTAAGCAGAATATTTAAATTTTAACAAAGATGCAGTAAAGTGCCAAATTATTGGCTTCACGTGTCTGCAGCACGATTAGACACTCGTTTATTTAGTTTATCAGCAAAAAAAAGTTGATTTGGGGGTGACTTGCTCTTTAAGACTGAGCCACGACTTCTCAGGTGAGTTCTTTAGCGTCAACAATCCTCATGCAGGGCCCAGAAAACTCCACGTTGAAACTTTCTAGAGCTCTGCGTTCGGATCCGTACCGCAGCTGGTGTAAACGCTGGACTCAACGATTTCTGATCCACGTGAAACTGAACATCCGGTCTACATCCAAACGAGGCTTCAGGCCTCTCGGCAGCAGCTGCAGCCCTGCTCCCGCTTTTCTTAAACCTGGTCCTCGCCTCCCCTGTCCTGCATGTTTTAGGTGTGTCCCTGCTGCCACACACCTGGTCTAAATGAATGAGTGATGAACGGGTTTCTGCAGCACTTGCTCCCGAGAAGGTCATGCAGATGTGTAAGCCCGGTGGGCTGAAGGAGAGACCTGGATAAAAGCTGGTTTCTGATTCGTTTGGGTAGTATTGGACCATGTGACCTCAGATCCAGTTCTTACAAACCTTCAGCAGAACAAACACGTCTAAAACTAATTAAAGAACATGTAACGTTATTTAAAAATAAACTTTAACCGTTCTGATTTATTCTGCAAACAAAGCAGCACAGAAATCCTCAAAAAATGAATAAAGATGGTAAATGGCCTGTATTTGATATAGCGCCTTCTAGAGTCCTGGAACCCCCCAAGGTGCTTTACAACACAATCAGTCATTCACCCATTCACACACTGATGGTGATGAGCTACGATGTAGCCACAGCTGCCCTGGGGCGCACTGACAGACGCGAGGCTGCCGAGCACTGGCGCCACCGGTCCCTCCGACCACCACCAGCAGGCAACGTGGGTTAAGTGTCTTGCCCAAGGACACAACGACAGCGACAGACTGAGCGGGGTTCGAACCTGCAACCTTACAATTACAGGGCAAGCACTTAACTCCTGTGCCACCGTCGCCTCAGATGAAGATATTTAAATAACATTCCAGCTGACTGTGATGAAAACACAAATTGAAGTTAGAAACAACAGAAACAACATTTCTTCCTCCTTTCCTGATTCATTTAATCATTTCCATGTTTTTCTTTTGTTGCTTCGGTGGATAACTGCAGGTAAAACGATGCTTTTTTTGTTGACATTAATAAATAAGTTGGAGGTTTATTCTTTCTCCCTGCCCCTGGTTGAGCAACGCTCCGATCAGCAGGTCTGGGGTCACTGGAGGTCAGACCGGCGGTGCCCACCGACCATGCAGGGTTAGGGAGACGGGGAGAGAGGAGCTGCTGATGGGAACTTGTTCAGACTGAATCCCTGGAGATGTCCGAGTCTGTGTGTTCATCAGAGCGGCATTTAAGGGGATCAGTGTTACCGAGCAATTAACGCAGACACACCTTTACTGTCACCAGATGTTCTCCTGTTCCACATCAGCTCCAGAAACCCAAACGAGGTCCGCATCACCAACGCCACCAGATCTGCGTCTGGATCCACGCGCTCCGCTGCTGACGGTCATAACCGATATCATATCAACCATGTTTAGCTGTGCATTCATCAAGCCTGACACGTCCCAGCCCAACGCTGTTTTTACCTGGGCGAAAGCGGCCATCATCTGGGTAAAGGAACGTTCATGACGTACCCCCGTAACGCTCTCACGAACCACTAGGGGCACGCACACCCCTGGTGGGGAATCCCTGTCCTGCACTTTGAGGACTGATAGGCTAACTGTAAGGGATCTCATTTAGTAACATCGTTTACGTGCTGCTGCTGCTGAATAAATCGTTTATGACGTTGTGAAGTCAGCGAGAACCGGGTCGATCCAAACAGAGCCAGCTGAAGCTATCACAGGGTTCATTGTTGACTCTTACCTAAACTCCGGACTGACGACTGTCGGGGTTTGACGGGACCGTCTCTGACACCACCTGCTGGAGGTCCAGAGGAGTAGGTGCCCTCCCCCTTACAGTCCAGCTGCAGGTTTGGATCCTCAGCACCAGTAAACACCGACTTGGCCGTACTGGGAGGCCTGAAAGGACAGCATGACCTTTAGGAGCGTCGAGCCAGCTGTTTGCTGGCTGGGTCCAAATCAGAAACGTACGTTTTAAAGCAGGGATCTCCGGAGAGCAGGGTCATCCCGATGGTCACCTGGAGGAGAAACCGGGTCAGAGGTTCTGAGCCCTACAACATGCAGACTCTGACTGAAGGACGTGTTAGGTGCTAACGTTCAGCGCTTGTGATGGAGTCAGAAACGTGTCAAAAACACACAGCTTTATTGGTAAAAGAGGATCTGACACCGACATCGTCTGTTTTACAGATCAAACCTCGTTTAATTAGAGCCTAAATCCCGTTTCCTCTGAGGCCGGATCCTCCAGAACCAGAACCAGAACCAGGCTGGGTCTGTGATGCTGCTGGTGCAAGCAAGACTAAAGATCCGGTTTAAACTGGTAGGTTCTGAGTCAGCTTCACGCTGGCTCATCCCAACAGTTAGGAGCCTTTTTATGTCTGACTGATCAAAGGTCAAAGGTCATAGTTAAAATAATGTTCTGAAAATGTTCTGGAACCAGAACAGCAGGTAAATCAGCCCAAATAAAAGTGTGTGTGTGTGTGTGTGTGTGAGTGTGTGTGCGCGCACGCGCGTGTGAGAGTGTGTGTGCCTATAAGCGTGTGTGTGTGCGTGTGCCTGTGTGTGTGTGCGTGCGTGCATGTGTGTGTGTGCAAGCATGTGCGTGTGTGTGCATGTACATGTGTGTGTATGTGTGTGCCTGTGCGTGTGTGTGCGCGTGTGTGTACCTGTGCGTGTGTGTGCATATGCATGTGTGTGTGGGCGCGTGTGTGTGCATATGCATGTGTGTGTGGGTGCGTGTGTGTGCCTGTGCGTGTATGTGTGTGTGTGTGTGTGTGTGCGTGTGCGCGCTGCCTTCAGGATGGAGTTGTCCTGCCGGGTGTTCTTGGTGTCGTAACCCTCCAGGATGCAGCAGCGGACCATAGAACCAGAACCAGCGAATTCTGAGATGTTGAGATCAGCGAAACCCAACTAGAGACAGAAACACACACAAGTCCACCTGAAGACCTGGTTTCAGACATTCACCAGAATCCAGCTGCTGGGTCCACGGGTCCAGCTGGTCGACCCAGTCCAGTTAAACATTCATTCTGTTCACAAACGTACCTTTGAGAAGGTCTTCCCTCCCTTCAGCTCCTGTGAAGACACAACATAAATATCAGGATCAGGTCCGTCTGGGTCAGAACCACCGAGAGAAGCTCTGAGAACCACGCTGATGTTCTTCAGAGTAAAGACCAGCGGTGGCTTGTCCATAGGGGCGCCGCCCCAGCAGTCGCTCAGAAACAAGAAGATATGAGAACCAAAGTAAACGGCCTACACATGCTGCGTTTCATCTGCTTTAGGTGTAGTTAAAACGTTCTCTCACCGCTACCATAACCGCACCGCCTTGTGATGCATTTCCTGTTCCTTTGAGACGCAGCGACCTTTACCGTAGACCTATGCCGTAACCGACGCACGCACCGGATCCTCCTCCAATACCAAGAACACGAGAGCCTTTGGACGCAGAGGTTTGCAACCGAAGCATTTGCAGATGACCAGAGCTTTTGAATTAACCAATCACAGGATGAGAAACACCGTGAACTGAAAAACGACGGAATGTGGCGTCACAGACCCGTAACAATCTCCAGCAGGTAAGAAAAGATCAGCTTGGTGTGACGTCGGGCCGTTGGGTCACACAAACCGAGAGTTTTTTACTAGAACGCTTCAGTTTGACCATGAACCAGTAACGGAAAGACTGAATTTGTGTTGATGAAGCTAGCTTAGCTCCGTGGGGTTTGCAGCTAGAGTAATGGTACCATGTTGTCGTAAGGAGAGTCTGTGGGCAGGATCATGTTGCGTTGTCGCTACTGAGCGTTTTTGTGTGTTTAGCGTCGTTTTACGGACTTTTCCTTTAGCGGCTGTTGTCATTGGGTGTTGTTGAGGTAGACGAGTCTCCTCCTGTTACGTAAGTGTGCAGGTTGCACATGCTGGTGAATACTGAGCATGTTTTTGGAACAGCTTTGTTGCTGGAAGTGCTCGTGGACCTGGTACCGGCTCCGTCGGGTTCCAGCCGTGTGACACATTAAGAATGGTACTTTGGCGTCCCCTGGTGGTGATATGTGGTTAGAGCTCATCTGAAAACTGACTTGCAAAAATGTGCCCCACCAAAAAAAAAAAGTAACCAGCTGCCACTGATGAAGACTAGAATGTTGTGAAGATCTGATGAACCATAAAGTTCCTCTAGAGGTACAGAAGGATTCAACAATCAGAACCATCTTCTAAAGCTGAACCAGCAGTGGGATCATGGCACCGCCAGCCCACATCAGCACGTCCGGGTCCATCTGCTGATCCAGAAGGAGAAGACCTGGTCTGCTGTCAAGTAGGGCCGCAAAGAAGCTGCTTTTCTCCAGGAGAACCAACAAAACCAACTGATGTTCTGCTGAAGGTCCTGAGATCAGACTGCTGAGGTCTGGATCGATTGCCAAGTGAGTGTTCCAACATGGTGTGTGTGTGTGTGTTTCTAAGAAGAGTTTACCTTCCGTACAGAGACTCTGCAGATGCACGGGTCCAAGACTCCAGTGGCTGGATTAGAATTCATCTTACACACAAAGGAGAACCTCTTCTCCCAACGAACACAGTTCTGCTGCACCTCCTCTCTGCAACACACACACACACACACACACACACACACACACACACACACACACACACACACACACACACACACACACACACACACACACACACACACACACACGTCTGTTGTTTACGGAGGCAGAAATAATAATACAGCTCAGCAGTTCAGACACATCTGGATGCTGATGGATCCAGAAATGAAGCTGATGCAAAGACCAGAGATCCTTTAGGAACCTCAAAGGAACGTGTGAGACGTTCCTCGGGCCCCTCCTACCAACAGTAGCTAGATGTTTGTGTAAATTAAAGATAAAATCAGTCTCAGGGAGAACACAGGAAGTGGTGATGACTCATCCTGCTCTTTTATTGGACCCTGAACAGCACACTGAGCGTTACCCATTAACTCTAGCGGAGTAGCAAACATGGCCGCCAGCTGTTATTAGTCTGACCAGAAAAGTGTGATGTCAGTGGCGGTCAACCGATATTGGTTTTTCGAGCAGAGGTCACGGTCAGCCGACGGCCGATGTTCACGGCTGATATCTAGGCGTCTCCACGTTACGGTCAGGCTAAAACGTCACGATGCCATCAGTGGATGAACAACATTTCTGAGGCGGAATCAGCTTTTGAACACTGAATTTAACCAACTTATTTTTACTCACTGCTCAGTGTTAAAGCCCCATTCTGCAACTTTTACACCTTAAACAGTGTTTTTTAAAGTTCTGGCAGCCTACTATCATCTGTTATGTTCATTTACGGAGGTGTGATAGTGGTATGGGGTCCCACGTCGGTTTACAGCACTGTACAGTTTTTGACCCGCGGGTCGCCGCCGGAAGTACGGACAGTGTGTTGCTTTAGGGATGGGTCTCACTCTCCAAAGCAGAGACTGTAGAAAATCAGTGCAGAGTGAGCAACTTGTGTCTGCTTTCGTGAAAAAGCTTGTTAAATGTTTTTAAGTTGGGAAGCACCGTCCTTGGTATACATTAATGCACTGGGGGTGAATGGAGACCCATCTAAAATGGCGGCCGACCACAACGGCAGTGCCAGTCCACGGGGCGTCTACGTACATACGTGTGTGGTAGACCCGCGGTTTAGAGACGTGAGCAATGGCAGATCCACCAAAGAAAGCTAGAGTACCTCATCAGAGGAATCTAGGAAAAGAACAAGAACAAAGACCAGAGTCGATACTGGGCCGGCGTGTCCTCGATGGAGAGCTCTTCTTGAAAGAACGGCATGAACTACGGACTCTGGCCTAGCCGTGCTGCTAATGGATAGGTGAGTAATACATGATTCACTGGGGTTATCGTGTTTGGTCGGGCATAAATTTGTTCTACAGTCCTGATAAACTTTATTCAATACTGAAACGTAGTTTAATGTGTTTGTCTGGGCAGGCGAGTCGGAAAACAGGAAGTAAAAGGGCCTCATGTGTGACGCCGCGTAGGGTTAGGCATCGAGCATCGATTGGAACCGGTTCCAACTGTTCATTTTTCCCGGAATCGTTCAAAGGTTTTTTATTTCAATTCCTAGTTTTGATTGTTTTTGTCTAAATGAAGGCGATGATGTTGTTCATAGAATTAAAATTCGTATTGAAGTTAAGATTATTTCATCCAGTAGGACCCGTGGTTAGCTGGCTCGTGTAAAACACGTCATGTCTTGAAAGAATCGGAATCGGGAATCGATAGGAACCGGAATCGAAATGAGGAATTGGAATTGGAATTGTTCAAAATCAAACGATGCCCAACCCTACGGAGAGATCAGATTTGACCACAGAGACGTTACACAGCAAGCCTGGAGAGGGCGACAGAGAGCATATGTCCACAAAGTTCAGGAGCGGAGCTTTAAAGCGAGACATCAAACTAAAGCTAATGAAGCTAATCAGCGAACTGACCAAGTATTAAATATTCTAAACTGGTACATAAACGTTACTTTAGCTGAAAACATTCATAGAGCATATTTTACGATTTAACTCTGCAGCAGCACCGGGCTGCCCGGGATGTGCCGGACCGGTCTTTAAATCGGACGATGCAAATAAATGCATCTAACTCTAGTGTTCTAGAGTTCTGGACCGGTCAACATCCTCCCGGGTCAGAACCCCCAACACCTGGACCTCCATACTGGAGTTTCCAGACCAAAGACAGAGGACAAAAAAGCAAAAATCTATAAAAACATTTATATAAAAACGTTTAATCTTCTGGAAAGAAAAAGCTACGTTTTAAGTATCTTGAGAACCCGGGTCAGAACCTGCATGTTTTCGTTCTATCTCCCCTTATATGCAGCTCCCAGTTGGACCAACCGGTTCTGCAGCTTCTCAGTTTCAGCCCGGCCCACTCGGTAAACAGAAATAGCTTTGTTTAGCAGGTAGACGGGCAGAACCAGAACTGTGACCTGGTTCAGCTAGATAGAGGCAGGCTTGTTCCTTCCAAGGGTCCCAACGGAGCCAGGACCAGGATCAGACCGTCAAACATCTCCGTTACATAAACACACACACACACATACATAAACACACACACACATACATAAACACAC